TTCTGATTGTTTCTTTTCCTCACACACAGTACACACTAACACTTATAAAGTCCACACATTCTTTTTTCAATCATCGTTTCTACACCTGACACACACACACATCCACACATTCTTTTTTCAATCATCGTTTCTACACCTGACACAATCAAATTAGTATGCATTTGGAAACAAATGTAAATGACTTTCACTCTAATAAATCACTCATTCCAGTAAAGATTTGAAGTAATCACATGTTCCTTCATTTGCAAACATTTGGCGGATCATCAAAACGTATTTACTCTGGTACATGTAGCTGATTCCACAAACAGCCCGACACTGTCCTCGCGGTATTTACTGATCCCAGCTTACACAACAGTGATAGTTATTTGGAAACAAAGAAGGAAAGGGACAAACGACGAGCCAAGGAATTGCGTGTTGATATTTTAAACAAACAGAAGTTACAATGCTGAAATCAGGAGAGACAGACTTACAAAACAAGTAGACGATGTGTGGTACTGACCACGCCCAGGCTTGTTTCGTTAGAGAAGTCAGATCGTTCACAAATATGACGTGAGAGAAACAATGTGGCCAACACTGTGAGACACAAATTATAGCCACGGACAACGACACGGTGATTTTGATGTCGAAGACATTTCACGCTAGGCGAGTGAGGCAAATAGCTGCAAATATTATAATAACAATCTTAGGTTTCAGTAGAAACCTCTAAGCTGTATGAGAATTGTGCTACTACTACCAACAGTGAGCCTTTAAAAAAAGTGGCGAGTTTGGTAATTATACAGAATAACAATAATCTCATTAAGGTCATATTCATTACAAATTTTTGAAAATGTCGATCAATCATTTAAAAGAAAAATTCGTTGACAAATAGCCTTATGGGAAGTTTAATAATGGAGCAAACATGAATTGGTCGTCATGATGTAGATAGAAGTACAAAAGCAACCCTTAGCCATTTTTGAGTCAAACTTAACGTAACACGAAAACACGCTAGTGTTCTATGGGCTCTCCACAGGACAAGGAATTCTCGTCTCATACAACTTTACTATGTGGGCTTACTATCACGAACTCTGAACAATCTCCGCGCACTTCCCATTTTCATAGTAATATTCGTTGACTGTTCATAATAATATTCGTTCGCTGAATCTTTAATTTCACCTATTTTTCTCTTTCAATCATTTTCTTTGACTGTTTTAGTTCCGTACACAGGCAGGTGTGATCACAACTCCGTTCGTCAGTTCGGCTAGTGAGCACCCGCCTGTGTA